GAGAAACCATATGAATGTCTTGAGTGTGGAAAGACCTTTCAATCGAAAGATGAATTGACTACTCATCAAAGAGTCCACACAAGAGTGAAACCCTATAAATGCCTGGATTGTGCCAAGAGCTTCACTCGTCTCCCACGTCTCACTAGCCATCAAAGAATTCACACAGGGGAGAAACCATTCAAGTGTATGGAGTGTGGCAAGCGCTTCAGTCAGAGTTCAGTCCTTGCTCGCCATCAAACAATTCACACAGGGGAGAAAGCCTTTGAATGCCAGGAGTGTGGAAAAACCTTTCGATGGAAGGATGCATTGACTGCTCATCAAAGAGTCCACACAGGAGAGAAACCCTATAAATGCTTCGAGTGTGGCAAGAGCTTCACTCAGCGCACACATCTCGCTCACCATCGGAGAATTCACACGGGGGAGAAACCATATGAATGTCTTGACTGTGGAAAGAGCTTCGGGACAAAAGGAGCCCTTGATGTTCATAAAAGGATCCACACAGAGGAGAAAGCATTTAAATGCTCAGAGTGTGGAAAGGGCTTCAGTGCAAAAGGGCAACTCACCACTCATGAAAGAATCCACACAGGGGAGAAACCATTCAAGTGTATGGAGTGTGGCAAGAGCTTCAGTTGGGGCTCAGGCCTTGCTTGCCATCAAGCAATTCACACAGGGGAGAAACCGTATAAATGTTTGGAGTGTGGTGAGAGCTTCACTAAGTCCTCAAATCTCACTCGCCATCAGAGAATTCACACGGGGGAGAAACCATTTGAATGCCAGGAGTGTGGAAAGATCTTTCGATTGAAGGTACTATTGACTAGTCATCAAAGAATTCACACAGGAGAGAAACCATTTGAATGCCAGGAGTGTGGAAAGATCTTTCGATTGAAGGTACTATTGACTAGTCATCAAAGAATTCACACAGGAGAGAAACCATTCGAATGCCAGGAGTGTGGAAAAACCTTTCAATTGAAGGGTGGATTGACTGCTCATCAAAGAGTCCACACAGGAGAGAAACCGTATAAATGCTTGGAGTGTGGCAAGAACTTCACTCGGCGCTCAAATTTCACTCGCCATCAGAGAATTCACACGGGGGAGAAACCATATGAATGTCTTGAGTGTGGAAAGAGCTTCAGGACAAAAGGAGCCCTTGATGTTCATAAGAGGATTCACACAGAGGAGAAACCATTCAAGTGTATGGAGTGTGGAAAGGGGTTCAGTGGGAAAGGGCAACTCACCACTCATGAACGAACCCACACAGGGGAGAAACCATTCAAGTGTTTGGAGTGTGGCAAGTGCTTCAGTCGGAGCTCAGGCCTTGCTTGCCATCAAACAATTCACACAGGGGAGAAACCGTATAAATGCTTGGAGTGTGGCGAGAGCTTCACTCAGCCCTCAAATCTCACTCGCCATCAGAGAATTCACACGGGGGAGAAACCCTTTGAATGTCATGAGTGTGGAAAGACCTTTCGTTCGAAGGCTGAATTGACTACTCATCAAAGAATTCACACAGGAGAGAAACCGTATAAATGCTTGGAGTGTGGGAAGAGCTTCACTCAGCCCCAAGCTCTCACTTGCCATCGGAGAATTCACACAGGGGAGAAACCATATGAATGTCTTGAGTGTGGAAGGAGGTTCAGGACAAAAGGAGCCCTTGATGTGCATAAAAGCAGGGTAAGCTCAGTTGGATCCTTCACAGGAGGAAAAAGGTGGGAGATAAATGCAATGTAATGAGAATAACTCTGTTGGAGAGTGAAGAGTACAGGAATGAAGTGCCCCTGAAAGTCTTTTGCATGCGGAGGATGCTTGCCCAGGCCACCCTTTTCTCCTGTCTGTGCAGCGTATCCTCTCCCACCCGTGTTTTTGCTACCTCTCTGCCCTGCCTTGAATTATTTTATCTGCAAGATCTTAGGATTCCTTGCAAGAAGAAGACAGATTTTCGTACAAATCACCAAATGTAATAAGAAATAAGAATAAGAAGCTTTGACACTAATCCAAAGGGAGCAGATTCTTTTTCCTTCGACAGGACTGTGGACCCCACAGAGGATTTGGTCCTCCTTTGTCACAGAAGAGCAGAGTGATCAGTAGCAGCAACAAACTTCCTCTTCCCTTTCCCCTTCCCTTCCTCGAATGACATTTATATCCTGCTTTCCTCCCCTTCCGAGGAACCACGTTTCCCTTTTTATCTTTACACAACAACCCTGTGAGGTAGGCTAGGCTGGGTGATTGGCCGTCCCCAGGTCACCCCGGACGCTTTGTGGCTGAGTAGAGATTAATCTAGTAGCCCATCTGTGGGCCAAGGGTTTCGGGGCGAGTGGGGGCCTGGTCCATTGCCAAGGGGGAGAGGAACACCTTAGCCACAGCCCTTCTGCCTCTGTCCACAGAGTTTTAAAGAAACGTGGAGGTTTGTTCTACAGTATATCACAGAAGTGAGTACTCCCCTCACATTTTGTAAATATTTTATTATATCTTTTCCTGTGCCAACACTGAAGAAATGACAATGTGCTACAGTGTAAAGTAGTGAGTAGACAGATTGTATAACAGTGTAAATTTGCTGTCCCCTCAAAATAACTCAACACACAGCCATCAATGCCTAAACCGCTGGCAACAAAAGTGAGTACACCCCTAAGTGAAACTGTCCAAATTGGGCCCAAAGTGTCAATATATGGTGTGGCCACCATTATTTTCCAGCACTGCCTTAACCCTCTGGAGCATGAAGTTCACCAGAGCTTCACGGGTTGCCACTGGAGTCCTCTTCCGCTCCTCCCTGACGACATCACAGAGCTGGTGGATGTTAGAGACCTTGAGCTCCTCCACCTTCCATTTCTGGATGACCCACAGATGCCGATATGGTTTAGGTCTGGAGACATGCTTGGCCAGTCCATCCCCTTCCCCCTCGGTTTCTTTAGCAGGGCAGTGGTCATCTTGGAGGTGTGTTTGGGGTGGTTATCATGTTGGAATACTGCCCTGCGGCCCAGTCTCTGAAGGGAGGGGATCTTGCTCTGCTTCCGTATGTCACAGTACATGTTGGCATTCAAGGTTCCCTCAATGGACTGTTGCTCCCCAGTGCCGGCAGCACTCATGCAGCCCCAGACCATGACACTCCCACCACCACTCTTGACTGTAGGCAAGACACACTTGTCTTTGTACTCCTCACCTGGTTGTCGCCACACACGGTTGACACCATCTGAAACAAATGTGTTTATCTTGGTCTCATCAGACCACAGGACACGGTTCCACTAATCCATGTCCTTAGTCTGCTTGTCTTCAGCGAACTGTTTGCGGGCTTTCCTTTGCATCATCTTTAGAAGAGGCTTCCTTCTGGGATGACAACCCTGCAGACCAATTTGATGCAGTGTGCGGCGTATGGTCTGAGCACTGACAGGCTGACCCACCACCCCTTCAACCTCTGCCGCGATGCTGGCAGCACTCATACGCCTGTTTCCCAAAGCCAACCTCTGGATCTGACGCTGAGCACGTGCACTCAACTTCTTTGGTTGACCATGACGAGGCCTGTTCTCAGTGAAACCTGTCCTGTTAAACTACTGTATGGTCTAGGCCACCGTGCTGCAGCTCAGGTTCAGGGTCTTGGCAGTCTTCTTATAGCCTAGGCCATCTTTATGTAGAGCGACAATTCTCTTTCTCAGATCCTCATAGAGTTCTTTGCCATGAGGTGCCATGTTGAATTTTCAGTGACCAGTATGAGAGAGTGAGAGCGATAACACCAAATTTAACACACCTGCTCCCCATTCACACCTGAGACCTTGTAACACTTAATGAGTCACATGACACCCAGGAGGGAAGATGGCTAATATTGCCCAATTTGGACAGTTTCTCTTAGAAGTGTACTCTCTTTTGTTGGCAGCGGTTTAGACATTAATGGCTGTGTGTTGAGTTATTTTGAGGGAACAGCAAATTTAAACTGTTATGCAAGCTGTATACTCATTACTTTACTTAGTAGCACATTGTCATTTCTTCAGTGTTGTCACATGAAAAGACAAAATATTTCCAAATGTGAGGGGTGTTCTCACTTCTGTGATATACTGTATGTATTTCAGCGAGGGCAGAAAGCGATTATTCTCCAGTTGCATGTTGTGCTGTTTGGCAGTTCCAAAATTCCCTGAGCAACGGCCGATCATAAAACAGAGGGTCTTAGGTTCGATGCCTTGCACCAAGTCTTTCCCCGAGAGAACTACAACTATTTATCATGTATCAAAGGACAGGAACTGTCCCTGCTAGTGAGAGATCCTTGAAGCTCATGATATGAGCAGAGAACGAAGTAGCTGTAACTCCCTCACTAGAAAATGACTTGCCATGGAAAGCGCCTGAAGGAGGGAGGCCTGGTGAAGTTGTGTTGCTGCAGCGCAGCCCCAGTGGCAGGGATGACTCCAGGTCTAAGGTGATTTCCAGGCCTGTAATGATTCAGGGGTACGTGCCACCCCTCTTCCGAGATAAGGGGCACTTTGACCTCAGCGTCCCACAGGCTGCATGGGGAACAGCAGCAGCAGCAGCAGCGAGAGCATTTTCCGTGTGCCCGGAAGACCCACCTGCTCCAGTGCTTTCAGTGGTGAAACACAGCCAGGCTTGGGTGCAGGGGGTCCCCTTGTGGCTCCTTTTGATTCCCTTGTTTATGTCTAAGATGATCTGTGGAGAGAAAAATCCCTCGAGCTTTGGCCAGGAGAGATAAAATAAATCATCATGCTTTGTATAATTATGAGGACCAGATGCTGCACATGCTGAGCTCACTTTGAGGCTGTGCAGGAGAAAGGTTGCTTGTGAAAGCGCAAAGTAGGGGCTCGCCCTTGGGACAAGGATTACAGGAGGGAGCAGTTGAGTTTGCCTGACCTTTCTCTAAAGCCAAGCCCAGCCCACACCTGCCCTAGCCCCAGCCTGAATTAATGCGTCCCTTTATGACTTTGAGGCTTTGAACAGGAGCAGGCCAATGGGGTGATACTGAATGGACATGTCTACTAATAATTTGTGGTAGTGTTTCCAGGCATGTTTTCTGTTCAACTAAGGGCCAAAATGGACACAAACAATATAGTTTTATTTAAAATATTTTTATTTACATTTTATATTTGTATCCCGCCTTACCCCATTGCAGAATTCCAGGCGGCTCTATGGGGTTCCCAGGTGGTCTCCCCTCCAAAGTCAGGCCAGCCCCAGGCCTGCTGAGCTTCCGCATGGTGAATGGCTTACGTGCCTTCAGGCCGTACTCTGGCCCTAAACATGCTTGTCTTCCACAGGCTTATAGACACGTGTGTACACGTGTCCCTGCACAAACCCACATGGATACAAACACTGATCTGCATTGAGTGTTTTCCCCTCATGGCGTAGTGATCCTAGTTACCTAGGAGAGAGTCCCCAGAAGGGAGAAGGGCTGTGGCCTGGAACTGATGGGCTGAGGTGGTCCCTATTTTCCAGGTATTTGTGGGTCCCACATCCGTAATCTCCATATTGATAGGAACCAATATTGGGGTTGTTGTAAAGAAAAAGGAGAAAACACTTTGTTGTGCAAGTGTGAATAGTTTCTTGCACAGAGGCCTACAGGCCTGATTTTTATTTTCCTGCTTTAAAATATAGTTAAATTGGGGGGTGGATGCATGTTTTGTTTGATTATGTCATAAGGAAAATGACTCCGCATCCCAGCCAAGAGCAGGAGAGAGTCCCTGGAAGGGAGAAGGCCGGAGGCTGAGGTTGATAGGCTGAGCTACTCCCTATTTTTGCAGTCCAGGCTGCAGCACTAGTAAGAGGTATCCTTTCATTGTCGGTGTGTGGAAGAAGACTTGTGTGGAGCACCGGGAGCAGGTTGTGGAGTTTTCTGAGTTCATTTCTCCTGCAAGGACTCTCTGCAACCTTTATTTTTGTGTACAGGATATCCTTTCAAGCAAATGGAATTGCGCTGCTATTTAGTGCAAGTCACACGATGTCCAGCTTTCACGATTATTTATTTATTTGTTTAAACCTTTTCTATGCCGTCCCTTATGCATAGCATCTCAGAACAGCTTAGTTGTTGTTGCTGTTAGTCGCAAAGTCATGTCCAACCCATCACGACCCCATGGACAAAATTCCTCCAGGCCTTCCTGTATTCCACTATCCCCTGGAGTCCACTCAAGCTCATGCCAACTGCTTCAGTGACTCCATCTAGCCACCTCATTCTCTGCCATCCCCTTCTTCTTTTGCCATCCATTGTTCCCAGCATTAGGCGCTTCTCTGGGGAGACTTTCCTTCTCATAAGGTGGCCAAAGTATTTGAGTTTCATCTTCACTATCTGGCATTCTAAAGAGCAGTCAGGGTTGATCTCCTCTAGGACGGACTGGTTGGATCACCTTGTGGTCCAGGGGACTCGCAGGAGTCTCCTCCAGCACCACAATTCAAAGGCCTCAATTCTTCGGTGCTCAGCCTTCCTTATGGTC